TTGCAATAAATATTTCCATGAAATTGTGTTTTGTTTCTGTAAACGGCCCCAGGGAAACTTACTTTGAGGACGCGCCTCGTATTTGTACCTGTGTGTGTAAGTATGTACATGCAGAACTCACCCACTAATGAGCAGTGAGTTATCAAACAGGTAAACTTTCATGTGCTGTACACCAATCAGTTCATTGTAATGCTGTGGCATAAGGTTACGCAATATTCCACGCAGAGCTGGTGTATGATAGAGAGACACCTGCCATAAACACAATCACAGTGCCTGCAATTAATGCTAATTAGTCACTTCAATCAGAGCACAACTATATATATTCAAAATACAGAAGAAGGATATCATATTTTATCATTCATTCCCAAGTAAACTTCCTTAATTCCTTAGTGGTGGATGAGATTAATTGAGGTAAGACAGCTCAGTCAGTCTAGTGATTAGCTGCGGCCTGAATCATCAGTATTCATTTTCCAACAGGAACACAGGGATATTTCTCTTTGCCACCACATCCTGACTGGCTCTGTGTAAGTTACAAATGCACATAAAATAACTAGTTGTGTACTGCTGCTTTTTACGTCAATTAAACAAAGTGGGAATGTGTTTAAATAAAATTCACATTTGTGGAAAAGTGGAGGAAAAACAATATCCTAAGCTTAAGCTCAGAATTAGTTAAAGTAGGTGGTTATAATTTTCCCTATCTGTATGATGGACCCCTGGTGCAGCCACCTCTTTTAAATGGCCCTAAACAGACACTGAGTTTGATATGCCAGGACTAGAGTATAAAGTTAACAACTCATTTACATATTATACTAACCAAGGTTAGATTTGAAACCAGAACCCTGTAAGATAATACTAGCCACTGAGGAGACCATTCTGTTAGATACCTTTGCTGACTATATACCATGCAATATATGCTTGCTTGTATCCCCACAATACTGTACTAGTCCTGAGAAGTGCAAGCAAATTAAATGATTACAGTATGAGAAAATAAAATATTGCACACAAAATATTTAAAAATACGAGTGCTAGCAAAAATTATAACCGAGTTAATCAATACCTGGCAGATATCCTGGTATTGAGCCAGAAGTGGTTGAAGCATGTGACAGGAGTTCCGCTCCCCTCTTGAACCTCTTGTGTAATCCAGTAACACTTTCACTTTTAGCTGGTCCCCAGACATTCTCAAGTTTTCACCAATGGCAGCAACCTGTGAATATTTATACTTACTGAAGTAATAAAGTGACAATTTTCAAAGCTCTGAAGAAAAAACCTTGAAACATAAACAAAACACAAATTTATCTAAATACCAAATACTCCAGCTGAATGGTCAGGAAGACTTAGGTTTGATTCATGGCCCAAAACAGCTAACTTGACTAAATTTCTTTGTGATTTCCACCAGACCCTACAGCAAAATGCAGAGACAATATCTTAAAACAATTCATTACTGTTTCCTTCCATATCATTTATTATTATTCACTGCCATTTTTACCCTTCAATAAAAATAAAACACACATAATGCAGCTAAAAAAAGATTTGTTGGATAAACTAAGAAATAAATCTATTCAAATTGACCAGTTGTTTCAGGTTGGTGGAATTTCCATTCAAAGCATCTTTGATGAAAAATAAACTTGAAGTGATGAAAAGCATAAATAGAAATAAAATTAGCTTTAAAAAGAAGGAAATCCTAAATAAAAGAAATGCTAAATGGGGATTCCGCCGTAGTATTTTCCTTGCTGCAATGGGGCTCATAAATAATTACACAAACCATTTTACTAATTTAATTCAAGCTTGGAAAATGCCTTACAGTATAACAGTGGAACAATTATATAATGAATGCCATTATGTTGGAAAACCAAAATTTGAAAAATCTCTATTCTGACAAATGTCCAATACTGAAACTTCTGGGTAATGAATTCAGTATAGTAACCAGACTACTGCTTTATGTAGATTATACAATCTTTTCAAGTTTATGTGATATATAAAAATTCTCTTAAAATATTTCATGTCACTATACACTAATCAATGAATGAAACTGGATTTATAGACTGAATAAACTATTGGAATAAATGGTGGTGATGAATATATAATACAGTTTACGCCTGTCAATGTTTTTAAACAAATATTTTGACACGTGTTTTATTATATTAGCAGACATACTTGACTTCCACCATTTCAACATTCATAATCCTGATATTTTCATTGACATGTTTATCCTGCATGCATAAACACAGTTATGTAATCATTATCTTCATCTTCTGTTAAAATAAATGTGTGTGATTATGCCAGAATTGTTCATAATTTCTTTGGCTCTTACCAATTGTTCCTCTAAATGACCAGTTCCCAAATACAGTGATGCTAATGTTATCCTTCGTTTGGCTGTCTGACACTTCTCCACTACTGTTTTGTAGAATATGTTTGGTTCATGTATAACAGAAACCTGAACAACAATGTGAAACAGAAAATATTAACACTAGAATTTCTGTTGGACATCAGGTTCTCTTTATAATGCACCTTTAAATCCAGATGTTTCAACTGCTCTGTTAAAAAATGCGAGAATGGCAAATTCAAAATTTACTATGAAAAAGGTTTATTGGCTTCTTTTCTTCTCAATAAGAAATCATTTAAAGAAATTCTGCCTTCTGCATCCATATGCTCTGTGACTATTTCATAAGTGTTGCTTGGAAATGATAATGCTATAAATTACAAATTTAGTTAAACATACAGAGCGCCTCACAAAAATTACCCACGTACTGCAGTTTGGTAAGCTATGTCCTATTTGATAAGGCCAATATAAATCAAACTAAGATAAATATTACCTTATTTCCATCCACAGGAAAACAGGGAGCAAATGTATGCAGCCATACTAAACCAAATGTACAAAATTCTTCGACTAATGCCTTTGGTATATTTTGTTTCCCATGTGAAACTGAAGCTTCTTGATTTGGGGGTTCCATTTCTGGGCTTTGTAAAATTACACTTAATCTTCGAAACAGCTCCATATTCCTTGAAATCGTCATCCAACGTCTTATATCGCCTCCTACAAACCTGTGAAAACACAGTCTGATTTTACAAAGGCCGACCTAACCAAACTACATCACAAAACAAAACAAAAATAACAGTACGTATTATAAAACCAGTTCAGTACTAACCAATTGGGCCACTTAGAAACGTATTTTTTCATTTTTCTACAGACATTTTAAAATGTACAAATTCTTTCTTAACCATTAAGCATACTTAACACACAATCAACAAACACGTCTGCCATTTTAATACAAAATACCAATATTATCAATCTTAATATTCCTATTATAGATAATGCCAACATCTCAGCTATTACAAATAGATGAGATGGGTATGTTTTATTGTATATTTGTTTCTGCGGTAGAACTGTAGTTGACTGAACGAAAAAAGGACACAAGTATGGAGTTTATATTTGTATTACAAACAAGTATTGCTTTTGTGCTATGACATGTTCTACATCCTTGGCTTGGGCCTATGAAGGATGGATTGAATGTAAATAAATTCTGGTCTATTACATTCTTAAGTAAGCCAGGGTTCAGAGTCCTTGCGATGTAGTAAATAATAATAAAGTAGATATACTGTGGAAATATAAGTACATTCAAGCAAATCTACCAAAATTGAGTATGTAATATAGAGCAGAAGAGAATGGGCAGCTACAATTGCTGGTTGCTAGACATGATAGCTTTGAATCAGAGCATGGCTTAACAAATGTTGTACACATTGTTCAAATTTGGACAGGAAGGTGGCGTTACTTCAGGTATTAAAACCTAATTAGACCGATTGTCGGTGATTTCATGTTTTATGCTTTAAGTATTATAACCTCAAAATGGTGACAAGCCCACAGGCTGCATGATAATATTCCAGGGCAGGCTTTATTTCCTTGCCTCAGCATCCAGACCTGAACTCTGGACTACAAAGCCTCATAACCAAAGGTTACCTTCTATTTTCGGGGTAAATCAGTCAGGGTGTGAAGCTAAACACTTGCCTTCATATAATGATAAGGCTAAGAGTCCACATACCAACTCAGTGTGGTGTTCAGTTAAGCACCATGAACAGCTTTACTTTATTAATTGTTATTCTTGAAAACTTTGAAATTCCATGATATGCTAAATTATTACGTAATAGTCTGTTGCTACCTGTCATCCTTGTGTAAGTCCAGGGTTGGGAAAGATTAATTTTCCAAGGATTATGTTGGAACAAGGAGTATGGAATTACACTGGGTAATCAAAACACTGAAAATGAAATAAATGAGAATGTATTAAATATAATGCAAATGTACAATAGATAAGGCTTGTATATGAGCATTTTCATTTTCTCCAATTCACAGTTATACAAATAACTTATTCACAGGAAGTTTGCTGTCTTCTGGTATGTTGCACAGTGTAGCCTGGTAGATATTGATCAAAGCCCTGGAGTTGGACATTAGCATCCTCTCCACCAAATCCAGACACACAGACTGTATCATCAGAGAGACTACTGAAATCAGATTGTGATTGTTGTTGATTAGCACATAGCAAGAATGGTGGTACATATTATATTACGTGGGTAACTTTTCATTTTCTTTTCTGTGGCAGAGAAATTTGGCTTCAACATAAGATTCAATACCTTTATGAATCAGCAATGATGTCAATAATGTGTCCCACTTACGCATTATACGTAACAGGCACTGCAATTTCACAGCCTTGCCATGTGCAGCATCAGAACTTGGTGTCATTTTGTTCATCACACTGCTGGGGTTGAGCACTTTCCTGCCCTGCTGTGACCTCAGCCATCTCGAGTTTTGTGTATTGCTTGCTGCTCCTGTTTGCAGCTTGACTTTTCAAACCTGAAGAACATAACAATACTGTGATGACTGACAAATTCTTAGGCAACTCAGCGATGCTGTTCAACTACAGAGTATCATCATGAATGGGACAATTTGATTATTTATTAATGGTGAGTAGGTAGGAATTTGGATTTAAAAAGAAATTCAATTCAGAGAATGCTTGCTACCATTCGGATCATAATCTTTTGTTTCCTGGTCTTCTATCTAAAAACATGAAGATTAAAATATACAACACTAAAATTTTACCTGTTGTTATGTACAAATGTGGATTGTGAGTTCTTGATTTAACAAAATACACTGAGAATTTTCAAAACATGCAGAAGATAATATTTCAAATTTCTGGTAAAATTCAAACCACCTTCATCTGATGGGCCCAATAGGCAAGAGATATTTCGAAAATAATGAAAAAACATTGATACTGGTAAGTAAAATAATTGGAATACACTCTGGAAGACCGATATCCAGAAGTAGCCTACATATTTTAAATTATACAAAATATTGTTTAAACCTGCCATAAAATATGGCACAGACATATAGACATGGTTTTGACAGAGACAAAAGAATGATAGAAGGGCAGAAATGAAAAACTTAAATCATTAGTAACATTTGCAGAATAGATAAAATATTAAATACTGAAATATTACAAATATGTAAGAGTGATAATACAGTCCTACAGGATGAAGAGTAAGATGAAGAAAATGAAGATAATGGAAAGAAGATTTTGAGGCCAATATAAAGTGGAACGAAGATATACCATGGTGGGTTAATGTACAGTGGCACCAGTTTTATAAAAAATCATCATTTGTTTCAGGAGATATTAAGGTAACAGGCACATGGACATCATGATACCACAAGCTTATCTTCACAGTAGATAAAGAAATTCGTATTGCCTACATTTAACAAGCCGCTCTAATTCAGCGTCGCTGTATGATGTGCACAGTTTCTCCTTGGGACTGAGAATCTTGGCAACAGAAGGTCGCAGGTTATGGAACACTACATGCTTATCTTGGCGTCTGAGGTCCTGCAAGAGTGATTGGACACCCTGTGCCGCAGTGAAATCTGCACGAGTCACATGGCGACAGTTCAGCACCACCACATCCACTGCTTCCATCCCTGCTTTTGACACAGCATCACGTACAAAGTCCACAGCTGGAAACAGCAAGCCAGCACTTGGCGTCACCAGCACGTACTCCAGACCTTCTGATGGGCACTACAGTATCAGAGACAGAGCATCATAATGGTGTATTTTGAGCAACCAATACTTGAATCTTGGCAAAATTACTATCTTTGACAAGGTTTTTTTAAATTTCTTCAGTTTCATTGAGAAAATGACAGGACATGAACTATACCATGACATAAATCTTTCAAATTCTTACCTTTTTCCATTCATAATAATTTTCCTATCTGATTCAACTCTGTATAACCTCCACTATTAAAACTACATTTTTAAATAATTCAGGAGAGAAACTAAGATAACATCATCAGGGGCATGGAAATACATATCTGCACCAAAAAGATGATAATATACAGTAAGAGTTCAGTTATATGCATTTTCATGGCCAATTTCTAAACAAATTGCACAGATTTTTAATTTGAAAACTACAGTCCCATACATATGCATGCAAGCCAGAAGCATAAACATCCTTCCTGAGAACTAAATAAAATTTTTAAAAAATAAAAAAACAGTGTGGGGTGCAGGTTTTCCAAAATGTTATTATTTTACACAGAAAATTTTTTACATAAAAATTTATGATCCAAACATTAGTGGAATATTGTAATATACTACTGAAAAAGTCAGAATGAACTAAAGAAACAAAGAGAACACCAAGGATGTGAAGAAAGAAAGAGTGAACAAATAAAGAAATAAGTAGGAAAGGAAGAGAAAAGCAAGCCAAAATTAAAATTGTGTACTGTAGTGTAAGCCTATATATATGTAGCATAAATTTACAGCTTGTGATTCGGATCTTAATGTGTAAGTGCACTGGGTATATTATTGTCAGTATGTAGACATAAGTGCCTGTATTAAATGGAAATATGTCTGAAACAGAATATTTTGCTATACTAAGTCTTGTCATTCAGTTCTTTCCAATAACCTGTGTATTGTCAGCAAATAAAATATGATCAGTGCACCCACCTGAAGTCGCTCTACCTGGATTCCTGGTCTGGCACTGAAATACAGCAAGAAGGCTATATCAACTGCCACTCCGATCATGATGCCCATTTCCACGCCAAGAGCCAGGCAAGCAATAAGGGTCAGGAAACCAGGCACCAGATCCCGCTCTGTGGTGACATCACAAAGGTATTTTAGCAGCATTATAGATTATATTATCACAAAATTACTTTATGATGATGATTATGATTCGTGCTTAGTTAACTTCACTGCACGTTATGTAAGTCTAATTGTACGAAAATATGAATTGTAAAGAATGTGGAAGGAATCAGGCATAGCCTATTTGAAGGTACTATCCTGGCATCTGTCTGGAGCACTGAGATAAAGAATAAGAAATCAATCAGAACATTGGATGTTGTGTTCTGGGTTTAATATTATGGTGTAAATATGAAAGAGATGCATGTCACTGAAATATTTGTTAACGACCTGCAAGACTACATGGTATAACAACCCACAATCCACATATTCACACCTATGAAAACCTAAATACTCATATCAATCACGACCAACCTAGACCAGAATTTGATCCATGTCTGCCACATGTGAGTTAGACACGTTATCGTTGTAATAACCTGCCCACTACACTTTTTTCTCTAGACTAACAACACAGAAATTATCTTACATTTGATGAGAAGGAATACCATTTCTATCACTGCCCCTGAGACTTATGACAGATAACAGTTGTGGTGAAGGGATACTTACTGTTTGACTTCCACATGGGTTTCACCATGCCAACCTCAACCATAAAGAGTACAGCACAGATAATGACAGAAGACAGGGTGGCTTTTGGAATAAAGTAGAAGTATGGTGTCAACAGACTCAGAGCCAGGATCACCATGATGCCTGAAAAGTTAATATGATACCAAGGATTTAATCTGAGAATTTCCAAAGTTAATTTTTCTCATAATTTCATCATAGAACTCATTTACCAGGTACATTATTTTTTTTATACATTTTACCCTTTATTCTTATGAAAATAAGATCAATCTTTTTGACCTGAGTCGTGTCTAGAGAATAAAAGTCTGTACCTGTGTAGAGGCCGCCAAATGGAGTCTGAACTCCACTGGAGTTATTGACTGCACTTCGAGTAAAGGATCCATTAATGGGCATGGAACGTACGAAGGAGCCCACAATGTTGCAGAAACCCAGTGTGATCATCTCCTGCGTGGCATCCAGCATAGCACCACTTGCTGTCATGCAGTTTTGTATAAACAAGAGTGAGAATGTTTAATAAAACCTGATGTTCACATAATTTATTTCAAAGAGCAGTCTCCTTGACAAGCTAATAGTCACTCAGCCCTGCCCTTTATAGGAACCTGGAAATTTGTTATAATGTTTACAAGAGCCTGTTACTAGGCTAACTGAATACAGTATGTACCCTACTTCTCTAAGAACCATTTTAATATGTATTATCCTCCCACTTGGATGTAGCACTCCCTAGTGGTTTCCTCCATTCAGATTTGTTCAACTAAAATTTTGTATGTAAGTAATGTTTTTGAAATGGGATTTAAGACCAAATGATAAGATGCAACAAAGGCCAGTGGTTGTCTACATGAGTGTGCCAATGTCTGGCTAATAGATATGATCAGAATGATGAAATTCCTAGTTCCACTTCCTGCCGCACAACCTTGGTTTGGAATACATCATCAACAAAAGACTTGTAAAACTGATAAAGTAGTTTGAGCAGAAACATAAATGATAAAAACTCCATAAAGCATTAATGTTTCTAGCTGTAAATCTGCATTGTCTTCTTCTCCAATTCAAGGATTAGGCCAATGACCTGTTCCACTGTCTGTGTGGTCTACCAGGATCTCATCTACTTTATAAATGGTACATATCTACTGAAGAATCAATAAATTTCCCTTTCTTGTCAAACCTTTATAATATATTAAAAACCAAAATTCACTATACTGGCAGTTTTTCTGAAACTTACAAAAGGACTTAGCAATGGCAACATTGCCAAGAATGGCGATGATGGGAACAATGGCTATCCCTGACCCCAAATGGCTCACCATGTCAATAAAATTATGTGTCTGGTTGCCATAGAACGTTGAGAAGGGCGGAGGTCCAGCATGAGGAAGACCCGCCTCAATCTGACCTGGAATTCAATCACAATTTAAGTAGAAATTAGAAAGTGAAATGTGTATTAAAGAACATACAAAATAAAATGTTAAAATCAATGTTGTATAATTCCTGATATTTTGTGGATAAAAAAAGCTGATGAGAAACAATACCTTTCCATTACAGTATACTGATTTACCAGCAATAATTTGTTAGAACAGAGCTCAGAGCATAAAGTGGCTATTTCAAAGTGATCAAGAGATAGAGAGACTTATGAAAAAAAATTGTAGTTATAAAATTGTCACATATTTGTCAGTAATTCACACTCAATGAACATATTTTATAGATATACCAAAACAAAAATCAATAACATTTATAATTTTACTTAACTCTGATTTGTACTTTTAGGAGATTAGGGCACAAATTAAACCAAACCTGTACTTTGGCTCTATTCACCTAGATATAGTACATAAAACTAGTAGGTATAGGGCACCAAAATTTGGATTTGTTAAGATCTCAATTTTAATTTTGTTGTTGTTGATTGTGTTTCTATTAAGACACCTTCTCTGTATTATGTATGAGAAGGTGAACACTGGTAAAGAATGATAATATTTTAATATCACTAAGGGCTGGACCAAATTTTTATCACTGCCCACATTCTACCCAACCCTGTGTTCTGAGTACAATGGCACCTGTAAGAACAAATAAGTAGAACTGTATATATGTATCATAGATATTGTTAAGATTGATACAGAAAGAAGTTCCTTTATCAAAATCTGATGAATACAATTGTGGTGATATAGAATGTTAATCCTTAACACCTGTAAGTATAAATGGTGTTTGTCCATGGCTCTTGAAGCCATAAGATATGACAGCACAAATTACAACCACCATTGCATTGCGTCCTGTAGCAATGTAGAAACAAAGCTTGGTGAGGGCTCTCTGTCGGCCTGTCACCTTCCCAGGTTCACCCAGCTTCATGTCCTTCAGTCTCTGTAACATGAACACAGAGATGTAGCTCAAATACTTATGACTTCTGTATAAAGTCATCAGCATCTTTAATATGACAAGTTTCAATATACATTACATAAGAAAGGAATTTCATATGGGTTTTTTGCGAACACAGAAATACAACTCGTTGATTAATGTTATTTAATGATACCTTAGCATTATTATTTGGAGATACAAGATTATAAAAGTTTAATAATATATACATAAAGCAAAAATTCTGGCACATTCGCTGTTTCCTTGTATAGGCAGTATGGACATGCAAGGATCTGTAATATAAAATCTGAGCGAAATCATTCACTGTTAGTGAGTTATGCAATAAAATAGGATTAAAATCTGTTAATTATCTTCAACACAGTGAAACTTAAATAAGGAGTGTATTAAGAATAAAATGGTTGTGCTGTGTAGCCTGGTAGAAGTTTACCAACAATTTAGAGATGCTTGCTGCCTCAATCATCAAGGTGAAGAGTCATCACGGCAAAGTAAAACCATGACGAGCCTTAGTCAAGATAGCCGATATCCTGGAAATTCCTTACCCTGAGACAAAGCAGAATGATGATGCAGCAGACACCCAGCACTGTGTCCCAGAGTCGGGTACTTCCAATATGCTGAAACAGTTTGGTCCAGGACTCCACAAAACCTTCAGAACTGTAGCTGAGCCCAAACAGACCTTTCACCTGGGAGCTTGCGATTATGATGGCTGAGGCTGAAGTAAAGCCAGCGACTACAGGCACTGACACAAACTCTACCAGAAAACCTGCACCAAAACTTTCAATTAGGCTATAAGCAATGTAATTTCTTATTGTTTATGTGATTTTTTTCATTTTCCCACAGATCAAATGACTGATGCATTAAACTGTGATCTGAATTTTTCTGTATTCTGCTGCCCTGTGACCTTCCAATCCAAAGAATCTTGCTTTAGAATTATGAATCAGAAGAGGCCCATAGGGAATGTGACGTAAATTTAAGCCTGCTCATTCGGGATCATAATTAAAGTGTTTGTTTGCGACTACTCACCGAGCTGTAGAATTCCACAGAGAAGCACTATGCAGCCAGTAAGGAAGCAGAGCAATACTGCCATGTCAGGATCTGTGTCATGTGTGTATGTGTGCGTGAGTAGTGACATCAATGCAGTTGGGCCAATGTTAATCTCCTTGCAGGTCCCAAACACGACGTACACCACAGAGCCTGCCAATGCAGAGTACAGACCATACTGCAAACAAACATCTTTCTATGTTATGGAACCCAACATAATGCGATGCATGTTCAGTACTTGAGTTCATGATCCTGATGTTTAGTTTGGAAATTCATTTGATAAAAGTATTTTCCTTTCATATAAATCCATTTGCCCACAGTAAACCGGCTGCAACCACACAGTTTTAAAATTCTGTTCAACCACAAGCGAAATACAGCGTCGTTTTCACAACAGGCCTCCCCTGTGGCTTATTCTGAGTCAGTTAAATCCAGTCCATACCATAGAATATTATTTCCTTAACATCCATTTTAATATTATCCTATCTACGCTTTCACGTGTTCCAATCAAAGCTGCGTATGTGTTTCTCATTTCTCCCATCTGATCTTCCTTTATGTTGCCATCCTATTTGGCGGAGAGTATAAATATGGAGTTCATCATCATGCAATGTTTTCCTCAGCATCCTATTCTCAAACACCTCGATCGATGGACTTCAAAACAACAGGTAAAATTATAGTTCTGTGTATTTAATCATTATAGAACGAGAAGACCAAAACTAGTAACCCGGCTGAGATAGAAATCGAATACAAATTCAGAGCGTTAAGTTCTTCTTCATCCTACTCCGTGAGAGGCAGAATCGTCTGAACAACAATACCGATACGTGTAGTAACATTCCTTTAAAATCCTTCAGATACACAGCAGCGCCGTTCCTGGACAGCAACTTCTCTATCACGCTTGTCATGCGTATTATCTAAACACCAGGCGCTGGATATCTTTTTAGGTTAAATTTTAAGTCGGGGTAAAATTCATTCAGTGCGTAATATACGATTGCAAGGGGCATTATTGTTATTGTTGTTGTCGATTTAGTTCTCTCCAAGATATTTTTGGTACATAGTCTGAACTGCTAACAGCGTCATTAAATAAGTCTTAAGTAAATAAAGATTTTTGGTAGCTAAGACTTGTTTTTACGATAAAATGAAATATAAGCCAGTTTCTAAAACCGTACTATGTAAGGGGAGCGAAGGCAGGCTGAATGATCTGCAGAGAAATTCCACATCTAGTGGCCACAATAAAAATCCACAAGTACATGGTTGGAAGGAAACTGCTATATCCGTGATTCAAGTATTCAAACTATCCAGATCGCGCGGCCACTGTAATCAACAGTGGGTTTCCCCACTAATCTAGTATAAAATAACACATAATAAAATCCGCCAAGGTTATTAAGCGTCAATATAATTAATTACTCCGCAACTAATTATTCAGAGACAGGAAATACCGAAACACTTATCTTTATTCCTAATCAGCAGCTGTTATTCAACGCACTACTCACTTGTCATTGGAGAAACTTAGCTTCTCTGGAAAATGATAGCATACAGTAGGCTGTCAGCCGTAATATGTACTTTATTGGAGAAACTTAGCTTCTCTGGAAAATAATAGCAGCCGTAATATGTACTTTCTTTCTGAATCTGCATTCATCACCTGTCTTAGTGTTAGTTTATTCAAAGTACGTCTTCATTCATTCCTTTTGTGCTGAACACACGTGAACAATTCTCGAGTTGTAGAAATGTTTAAGGACAGCTTATCAATAACATTAAAGCATAACAGAGCGATTCTCTGCACGTTATAACCAGTTGTGGCTAAATGGCTGCTTTTGAAACACAATGTAAAACCGATAACGGTATCAAAATATTCTTGTGCTGCGTCATAACGAAAGATATACGTTCCTTTGTAGCGTTATTGCAGAAATGAATGGGGGCGTTTTAACATGCCACGAGTGCTACAGAAGTGAGAATGCTTGTTCTGCGCTCTTGTAACCTTGGTCGTGCATCCTCCGAGTCCTCTTTTTACATAACTAAGTCTGAGGTATGCCCGGGGCACTGCACCAACATATGAACTTTATATTATAGTTTGCTACTGACTGAACACAGCTTAAAGTGAGACTTCACTGTGTACATTATGTATGAACTGACTGAACACAGCTTAAAGTGAGACTTCGCTGTGTACATTATGTATGCACAGTAAATCGACAAGTGTGTAACACACGCCATAGAAGTCGGGTTATTGGGAGTTCATGAACAATTCCAACCGCGTTTCTTACAAACTAACAGACTAATAAGATCTGCCATGACTGAGGTTTTCCTCAGGAACTACACGCAAATATATGAAATAGGCCACGACCGTTTAGGATCGATTCTGACTCATATTCGGACTGTCACGAGTTATGTTACTATCCTGGAAGCTGGTTATAAAAACAGAGTGATTTCCTGAGTTTCCCCAGTTCATACACTTAAATTATATTATATTACGTTAAACCAGGACATTAGCACTTAATTCCACAACAATTTCAATTTATTTTTTAAAATAAACTTCATATTCGACGCTGTATAACCCACGCAATTGAGAAATAATCGTTAAATAGCCAATAAAATAAGTCTGTGGAGCAGTCCTTTTTTGAGAAACTCATGATCTCTCAGCTGGTTAATAAAGTCTTATCCTTTTATGAAACCCAAAGGTTAGTTGCCGTGTTAACAACAGCCCGTCAATGGACCCCATCCCGAGCCAGGCGAACCTACTCCACACCACACTTTTGACGAAATAAATTAGGAAACATTTTCTTTGCAAATTATTCGTCGTGCTGTTTCACAGAGGAAGGAACAAAGCAACTCGACTGGTTTCTTCGGATGTCCAATATTATTGATTGCTCTGACAGAAACGTCTTCAATTGTTGCGAAAAACGTGAAGTACGAATGGGAATTCAGACAGCTGTATCGTTTATTGAATTATGCATGAGTGAAGCAGCTCGTAATGTGCTCCGAGTCATTGCGTCACAACAATAGCCCACGTTATTCATATGCTAACTGCTCGCCATTCAACTCAAGGGACCTTCAGAGTTCTCTTCTGTCCGCGATCAATCTCCACCAGCTGAACAGAATATTTTTTGAGAAGTTGATAATCATTCAGCAGATCAAGTAATTTTGCTGTATGCCTCCATTATCCATGATAATAGAGGCAGTGTGTGTTCCTCTGAAACACTGACATCAGCCAAAATACTGCATTGAACAACAACCCAGAAGACAGCCATCTTCGGTCAAATAATTCTTCTCCGTCTCTTATGGAATCCGAAGGTTAATTAAAGTTTTCATAATAGCATAGAACTTAACCATACTCCGAGCCAGCTGAATCTCCTCTCATCCCATTCCTTGAAAGATCTGTTTTAATATTACCATCTCATATACAGCTAGCCTCCCAAGTGGCCGGTTCCCTTCAGGCCTTGATCAAAATTTTGAGAGCATTTATGACCTCCCCTATTAGTGCTACATATCCACTCATCTCATCCTTATTAGTTCTTCCCCTTGCCGTAAGATCGCAAACCTAACCTAACCTTTCACACCCACGTAATACAAATCACACGCCACGGATTAGTCAATGTAGGCTCCAATACATGGCTAAAACATAATCCTCCGAGAATCAAATGATATCCCTTTTTATCTTTGAAGTTAGCGAGTGCTTAACTACTACTTGTCAAGGCAAACAAGGAGACTGCAGTTACAAAACACGACCTTAATTGTTCAACTATTCACTACGTGACATGCGTCTGCATCATGCTTGAAGAGATAATGGATAAAGATCTACCAGTGCACACAAGCCACGACATTGACTGCCTGAAAGGTTATATAACGACGCCTGTTCAACTGTAGAGGTTATGTGGGCTCGAATGAGAAAGTCTCTTTCAAGGAACTATCCCAATATTCGCAAGAAATAGCGAATAAAACCACGAAAAACCTCAGAAATTCGTCTAAGATTTGAAGCGGGTATATTCTAAATATAGTTTGTAGTCATCATCTGATCACAAACGCAGACACAGCACACATCACAACTCTTGAATAATGAACAACTGACCAAAAATATGCAAAACACTACAAAGACCAAAAGGAATACCTACAAAAAGAAATCTACAAAACAAATAAATCAATAAATGGTTGCATTAATAAATATATAATAGTTTTAAAGATGAAAATAACAATAAAAAACCTGAGGATGATGCAATAGCATCGAAACATGTCGTAAAATAATAAGCGCTGAAATGTAACATCGTAATAACGATGAAAAGCGCCAAATTTTAATTTTAACAACATTTTAAAAAATCAAGTTTGTGTATAGACTGAAATAATAAATAAATATATATACTGAATTCTAAATATAGTTCCAAAATATTTCCGCATCACCAGTAGATAGGTTGAGAGACTTAAATAGTTTTTGAACACCAACCATCTGCCTTTCATGAAATTGCTTATTGTTCAAAATCTGGAAAGTGGAAGATCTTTTTATCTTGCCGATAATATAGTGCGTCTGGTTTGAATCAAGCCTCTTCAATAATCCTACCTCTTCAGAATTTACTTTTACAGCTCATCTAATTCACCCAGTAATTACGCAGAATATTTTAATTTTTTTATTACCCCTTGTTTTATGATCGTCTATTCTTTGTTCAGTATTCAGTATAATCAGCCTCGCTTGATTAAATAAGATTATGCAGCATTTAAACCAAGATTCATACACGCTTTCCATTGTTATAGACTGCCTTATTAATCTTTCCTTCCTGCTTCTAACAGAGGTTTCAGAAATCATTTGCAAATACAGTTCACCAGAATATGCTCTAGGGTTTTGTTACGTTTCGAAAAAACCGAAAGCCATCTGGCCGCTGTCCGAAAGTAACAATAAAGACTCAAAGCACACTATTTTAGATAACCTCGACACAAAATAGATTTAAAATATATAAAACCTTGGTCATACCTACACTTCTTTACGGATGCGAAACCTGGATAATGAACCAACGCGACAAATCAAGAATTTCAGAAGCAGAGATGAAGTTTTTAAGAAAAACAGCCAAATACACAAAGAACTACAAACAGAACCAATATTAGAAAAAATCCACAGATACAGAAGAAACTGGATCCAACGTGTACGAAGAATGGACAAGGAGAGACGCCCTTTGAAAAGATTCCTGGATGAATGAGGAGGGAACGGGTCACAAGGCTCAAAATCCTTGACAGCTAGATGATGATGATGATGATAATAATAATAATGATGATAATAATAATGATGATGATAATGATAATGATGATGATAATAATGATGATGATATTTCTCTTCCACTCAACGTTATACAGTTTCCGTTTATTAGACATAATTTACATCGACTTTCACTCTTCATTAATGGTACAGGAGTACTTGGCAGAATATTTGAACCTAAGAAGGCCGATGTGACGGGAGGCTACAGAAGACTGCATAATGAGGAACTCCATATTTTATACTCGACACCAAACAGTATTAGGATCATCAAACTAAAGAGTATGAGATGGATGGGGCGTGCAGAACGCATAGGGAAATGGGTTTCGAAGGCGTGGATTGGATTTATCTGGCTCCGAATAGGGACCATGGGGGTTCCATAAAAGACGAGGATTTTTATTGACTAGCTGAGCGAACTGTTGACTACTCAAAGACTCCGCGCCAGGGAGTTAGTCATCGGTACTACAATTATTATTCAGGATTTCCATTCGACCGTAGATAAGCCTATAAAATAGGCAGGCTTTATTGTACAAACAATGTAAGACAAATACTTCATCTGGCACCCGACACTGTGTATTTCACACCAGATTGCTTTCACCTGATCAATACCTGTTTCTTGTCGTTGGTAAATTGTCTGTTGACAGTCGGAATTGCGAGCAGGAATAATAATCAACAGACCCGATATATGTAGAACATTCGTCTAACTCTAGTCCTGCAATATGTTTAATATTATACTTCAACACAACTGAAATGAAACGTACGTACACGCGATAAACAGGTTAAATGACGTGTTATCACGGTCTAATGGATTCGTACCCGTGCAATTGTATTGACAATCAGACCACAACATCGATATTATACATCCCACTTTTATTTTCTTACTTTTAATACGCCGATAAATTATAAACAGTTAAGAGTCTCTAATACACATTTAAAATTTAAAAATCACTTTGATGGTGTATGACAATTTAAAATAAGATCTTATTGTTGTGCGGCTGAAAACTATTAGCCATGATAACGTGTTAACTACAAAGTTTTATATATAAATATATTTCCGGTTTTAACAATGTTTTACACATTTTTCCGGTTACCAAGGTTATTACAAAGTTAATTTTGGATTATAGGTCATTATCGTGTTCACAAGATCCGGCCACCGGTCACTATCCTCAGCCAGATGAATCCAACTGACACTAAAACCCTGTTGTTAAGTCACTGGATTCCCATTCCCACACAGTCAGACATCTTCTCAGTTCTTAAATACTGGAACATCTTAGCGACAGGCACATCACTCATCTTACCGAGGTGATACTGCGAGAGGTCTTGGTTCGCTTGTAGTGTGCACACTTCCGTCCAGCGTGAAGGACACTGAGCAACTGACAACACTTCTCAGTTCGCGACCACTGTTCTAGCAGTCGACCGACCGATTTGCCCTGCGGTGTTCTGACAGTGACTGGCGGCGAGGCAAGAATCCTACTGACAACTTGGCCTCATTAATTCCACTTGAGTCTTGCAATTACTGTACAAACAGTCTACAGATTTTGCTTACAATCTAATCTTTATATTAACATGTCAAACAGAAGTAGATTGAACTTCTCTTGTGAGAAATCTCACAGGCCTAAAGCGAAAAACTCAACAATATTTATACAACGTCGAGATTGTATGCTGACATATTCGGGAAGTCCCAGTTTCGATTCCCGGCCCTCAGTCTGGTTATCATGACTGATATTTTCCGTGTTTTCCCAAGTCTCCAAAGTAATTCCTGGCATAACACCTTAAAACGTGCAGCTATTGATTCCTTCTACATCGTTCATCAATCGTCAATCACATTCATTCTAAAATCCAATGCTTTGTAACCAATAGAGTTTAGGCAAACAAGTGTCTTTACCTGGAATCCGCTTCATGTCGCAGTCATTCGCCACGTAAGACGCCCGTCTGGAACACAAATTACGAGCAGTAAAATATTACTCTAAGAAGTAAATCATTCAACAACAGACTACACAAAACGAAATACATAAAATGAAAATTTACTGTTTTGTACTCAGTGAGAGGTCTACGCGGACTCGATTTCCAACACTCTTTGTTTCTGCGAGCTTTATTTAATTCATCATGAACTAAATAAGTGACGTGTGTGACAATGGTAGCAAATCGTGAAAACTGAAGAAACCTGCGGACTGAAAGACGGGACAGGCGGAACCAGTTTTGTCCAACACAGATCTGGGCCTCGAAATCGGGTACACCAGTAGCATTTCACGCACTATTAATGACTTTTGTTAACAAACCGGTATTTGCCGCAGATAAATACGTAGGACGTTTAAAAGTTTACAAGTACTTGACAAAACTTTGCATGTTAAGAAAGGGATTCACAGTTTTCTTAAAGTTTTTGATCTAATGTAAAAAGAAGTACAAAGCACATCTTTCATAATGGGAATTTCTTGACTAGCTGAGAGTGTTGTTAACTTCTCAAAAAAGATTCTTCCATAGAGTTAGTCAGTCAACTAATAAAGCAACAAATTTGGTATTCAAAGAACATGCCTTGAGATTTGTGGAAACAAACCAAACACGGAAATATATAACGAGCACGTTTCAATGCGCGCTTCATTCTCGCGGTTTTTCTACACGGCAAGGCCGAGATATCCAGAGGTCGAGTTCCATCTGCAAAAAATACCGTGCGATATTTTCAAGACATGATTCTAGACGAAAAATGCCTAATCATAAGATTCACAAAACACTTTATGAAGGACACATCGCACGTTTCCCATGCAAAGTCCGGATATTCCCACCTGACACAATGCATTTAACTACAGATGAAGTACACGTCTAAACGATAAATATAAGACGTAGCTACTTCTTGGAAATATAAAACACAGACAGCACAGGCTTCATTTGCCTCTTCATTTTAGAGACATTTTTGCACAAATTTTGTGGAGATATATCCTCCGTATTCATATACAAATCGCGTGTGCAAAATCACTTGAGTTATGGGCTTACGAGAAGTGAAACATTGTATACAATATCATGAAATTATCTCCGCTATTTCCTTTACTCAGAGATTTATTCAGATTAGACATTTAAAACTGTGAAAAGTGGTCTAAATTCCAAGGGTTTAAAAACAAAGTGTTCGGACAGTTATCTGGATCAAAGACGGATGAAGTAGGCCTATTGAGTTTTTTGATGGGATATAGCGCCGTGTGGCCTCAGGATCGCTTTGATG